ATTTGTGCTGAAGGGAAGTGATTTTGGCATTCAGTGCATACGGTGGACTGGCATGGTTAGAGGCGCGGTACCTGCAGACCATTTTAGAGGCTGTTGTAATCTAGGCAAGAGGTACTGAAGGCCTGAAAGAAGGAGATCAGATGTGAGAGAAGTTGTGAAGGTAGAAACAGCAGGAGTTGATGTTCAAGCGTCATGCTAGGTGCTGAGGGAAATAGACTAAGAATGAAACAGTCTCTGCTCTCAAGCAGCTTCTGTTCTTGAGGAAGAGAGAGCTAGTATATAGCTATATAAATATCAAGGCATTTGGTAAAGGACGACACTCCCCAGTGGGGAGTCAGGAAAGTCTCCTTGTGGAAAGGTGACATTTAAATTGTATCTTGAAGGAAGAGAGGGGGAGGCTACGAGGTTGAGGTGAGGACAACATGCCTTTTAGGCATTTGGGATGTCCAGCACATAGTGACAGAGATGGAAGATGAGTGCTGTCATGTGTGAAAAACAAAGAGAAAGACAATTTGATAGGATTGCTGAGTGATATAAGGTACTATGAGCAAAGAAAGATGGCTTGGGGCCAGGTTGTAAAAGGTAGGAAGAATAAAAGGATTACCAGACTGAAGTGAGGGTCCATTTGAGTTTACCATGAATTTGTAACGGACCCATTCTTCACAATTTTGTGACTTCCTCCAGCAGCAATGAGCAGCTCAGAAATAGGTACAGAGAAAGTATATGGATATGTCCCAGGGTTGAGGATTGGCAGGACAAAAATGTAGATAAAGTGAGGGATTCAAGAGTAGGAAAGATTGCAGGGCTGAATTGTAATTATAGCATGAAGACTATGAAGGAAGAAAAGTGAGCGCAGAGAGAAGGTGATGGGCTAGGCAGACAGAAAGTTGCAAAGAGGATAAATTAAAAAACAGATTTAGTAGAGATGAGGTAGAGGCAAAAATGAAAGGACAGGTCATTATGATCAGAGTTTGAAATTTTAGACTTCCAAATCATAGAGTGGTACAGGTTTGGCTACTGATAAAATCCAAGATGTGATGACTCCAGTGGCTGACTGAAGCAAGGTGCAGATTGTAAGTAATAAGAATCAAGGAGGATTAACTGGGGAAGCCAAAATGTTGCAGGGTACCTCATGGTGAGTATTAAAGATCCCAAATATGAGGCAAGGGCGGAGAGTAATAGAGATTGTGATACAGACTAGACTCCCTAGAGCAGAGAGTAATCTGTCTTTCCCTTTGGCTTGTTGTGTTGGGAAACATGAGAAAAGAAGCAACCAGCACTGACAAAGAATCTTCTAGAGAAATCCAGGTGCCATCAAGAAAATGGAAAGGATATGAAAAGGATGAAGGAAAATTGATGATAAAGAGGGGATTCTAAAAGACTAAGGAGGTTAGGCACTGGGGACAGACAGGACAAGGGCTAAGGTGAATAGGTATCAAGCTGTGGGAAAAGAGAGCAGAACAAAGATGTTCTCAGGTAACTGGGATTAGAGGAACAGAAATTTGTTAGCCAATAGGACAGGACAGAAGCCTGAATATGAACTCCTCAAGGGCAGAAACAGTCTCATTTTTATCTTTGTATCTCCTTAATAAATGCTTGTTAATTGAGCACTAGACTGGAGTTGCTTCAGACTTACTAGTTGTGTGATCCTGGGCAAGTCACTTAACCTCTGTCTGCTCCCATTTTCTCATCTGTACAACAAAGATAATAATAGCACTTGTTTCCCAGGGTTGTTGTGAGCATAATTTTTTGCAAACATTAAAACACTGTATAAATACTAGCTATTATTGATTATACTTATTTGTGTATGTTAAGGCCTCCTACTAGATTGTAAACTCCATGAGGGTAAGGACCAAGTCTTCTAATCTTTGTGTGCCCCACCCTTCAAGTGCATAATAATTAAATCTTTAAAGCTGAGTAATATAATATTAAAGTGCATTACATAAATTACTTCATACACAGGTTATAAATTACTTCACACACAGGTTAGGCAAGCTAGCCTAGGTATAGTACCAAAGAACAATGAGAGATAGAAGGCAGTGTGTGCCAGGTAAGTCAGGTCACTACTACCACTTTGACTACCATCTCCCCTCAAACCCTGATGGAGACAGCCCAGAAAGGACCTTGAGCTCAAGAGCCTTGGGAATAGCATTGTCCACCAAACCACCACACCAGACCTGTTTCCAGGCCTGCCCCACAGCAGTGAAGGGAAGAAATCACTATGTAAAGGAATCCGACCTACCCAGCAATAACTGCTAACCAGCTGCCACCCTTGGGTACCAGGGTGACCACTGGTCCTGCTTCTGCCCTATCACTGAGAGCCATTATCCAGGCAGGAAACTCTCATAGAGAAGGGACTAGCCATACCCAACAACTGCCAAACCCATTGCCACTTAAGATGTGGGCAGGCCAGCTTCACTGAAATAGAAAGGTACTTGGCACCCTGAGGGAGAGATGGCAAGCAGCACATGCTAGTCAAGTCAAGCCATCACCACCACCACTTCTTCTTGGAGACAGCCCAGGAATGACAGTGCTTCCAGCGTGGTGCCCTCAGCAATTCTCCTAGGAAGCAAACCCTGTGGAGAAGCAGTCTGGCAACTGTTCTTGCAGGTACTATAGCCAGATCTGTTGGAGATTGAGAAAAGAAAGTTCTTATCATCAAAGTCTTTGGCACTGTCAAATGACTTAACACCAGAAACTGATAAAATTTTATCACTGAAAATGACGTTTAAAGAGGAAGCATTACCATAGGCCCCATGTACATAAGTTATACAGAATAAGGAGGTATAAATGGGTTGCTTTCTGCCCTATTGAATAGGACATCCGTATCAGTGAGATCACAGATCCACTGAAATATTAATTCTCTTAATGCTCCATTTTTTGAAACAAATTGGGTATTTTAGCAGAATTAACAGTTGCAGATACGTATTCTGATCTTATTAATTTGGCTTTAAGATTTTATTCTCTTGTACCTAATGAGATCATGGCGTGGTTCATTCTTTTTGGGACAAATCCTGTAAGTCTTTAGTGCTTATGAGAGATTCTTAAGACCTTGCTGCCACTTTAAGCAACAATCATTACATTTTTTGCTACACTTTTTATGACCTGGGGAATAATGTGACATTTTCAGTTTAGGTATTTCAGAAGTAAGCTGCCTTGGGGCAGCTAGGTGGTGCAGTTGGATATAGCACTGGCCTTGAAGTCAGGAGGACCTGAGTTCAAATCCAGCCTCAGACCGAACACTTGGCACTTACTAGCTGTGTGATCCTGGGCAAGTCACTTACCCCCAATTGCCTAAAAATTAAAAATTTTTAAAAATTTAAAAAAAAAAAGTAAGCTGCCTTGTGTACCTGCACAAGTTAGCTGCTTCCTGAAAAGGGCCAAAGTAATTTCTTTTGCTTATGGAATTTCTATGGCTTATGGAATAATCAGGGTTGTAGTTAACTCATGACAATCCAACAGTGGGCAATGTTACATTAGCTAAACTTCTTTAGCCCCCTCTACCTGATCGGTCATTTTCCCCATTGTCAGCCTTTCCCTCCAATCTCACCCCCCTTCCAGATACCTACATGATCACACACAAATTGCTTTTGTGTGAACCACATCATGACCTGTGGTCACACTCTCATTCATTCAACAGACATTTATTAATTAAACTCCCACTGTATGCACTGAAGGCATCTAGGTGGTACAGTGGATAGAGTACAGTGCCTGGATTCAGGAAAACTCATCTTTCTGATTTCAGATCAGACACTTACTAGCTGTGTGACCCTGGGCAGGTCACTTCATCCTGTTTGCCTCAGTTCCTTATCTGGAGAAGGACATGGCAAAACCACTCCGGTGTCTTTGCCAAGAAGACCCCAAGTGGGGTCACAAAGAGTCAAACAGGACTGAAACAACTAGACAACAACATGTATTCTAAGTGGTGGTGGAGAGACAATATAATGTTGTTTCAGCTGCCTCCCTGCTCCAATTCCTGCAGGCCCCTTCTCTCATTAGAGAGTTCCTCCCAGAATCTTGATTCTGGGAAAAGGCTCAGACCAACCATCCCTCCTTCTTTGGACTTCACCACCAGACTTCCATTCAAGTAACACCGCCTACCACCACCACCCCTTTTCAGCTCCTATTTCTTAGGTTGTCTTTCCCCATTAGAATGTGAGCTCCTTGAGGGCAGGGATTGCCTTTGTTTTGTTTGTTTGTATCCCCAGCACTTAGCCTGCACATAGTAAGCACTTACAAAAATATTCATAGCAGCTCTTTTTGTGGTGGCAAAGAATTGGAAATTGAGAGGATGCTCATCAATTGGGGAATTACTGAACAAGTTGTGGTTTATGAATGTAATGGAATACTATTGTGCTGTGAGAAATGATGAACAGGCTGACTTCAGAAAAACCTGGAAAGACTTGAATGGTCTGATGCTGAGTGAAGTGAGCAGAACCAAGAGAACGTTGTATACAATGACAGCCCCGTTGTGTGATGGCTAATACTGATAAACTTAACCCTTCTCAGCAATACAGGGATCTAGGACATCTCCAGAGGACTTGTGATGGAAAATGCTATCCACATCCAAAGAAAGAACTATGGAAGTTGAATCACTATCATTTTTTTTCTCTTCTGTTGAGTTTTGTTTCCTCTTTCTGATGGTTCCTTCTATTGGTTTTAATTTTTACATACAACTTCACTAATATGAAAATATGTTTAGTAGGAATGTAAATGTAGCCTATATCAGATTGTGCTCCGTCTTGGGGAGGGTGGTGGGGAGGAGGGGGGAGAAAAATTTTAAACTCAAAAGCATATGGAAGTGATCGTTGATAAATCAAAATAAATTAATAAAATTTTTTAAAGATGAACTAAAAAAAGAATAAACTATTGAGTTACTTTTAGAAAAGATTTTAAATTGCTTTTGCAAATTTTGTATTATTCTAGGAAATGATTATGGATTTACAGTAGTTACATTTCTTTTCAAAGAAAATAAGCGGGTTTTATTCTCTTTTTTACAGAATGGAAACAGACTGTAGTCACATGGAGCTTAGCAGTAACACAGAAATTGAAGAAGATTCTGAATTTCAAGATTTTGAAAGAACAGACGTAAAAGACATGAGACTAGAAGCTGAAGCTGTTGTGAATGATGTTCTTTTTGCTGTTAGCAACATGTTTGTCTCCAAAAGCCTTCCTTGTTCAGATGATGTTGCATATATCAACGTGGAAACAAGAGAAAGGAATAAATACTGCCTGGAGCTCTCAGAAGCAGGGCTTAGGGTAACTTATTCTTCTTTCTAGGAAAAAAAAATTATTTGGATAAGATTTTATCACTTTATAAGACTACAGAGAATTATAGGAGCACTGGATGTAATTGTTTTTAAAGATTTGTTACTATTTTCAGAAATCTTTGGGTAAATACAGGTAATCTTAAACTTTGAAGGAACTTTTGGTTTAGGTTTGCTGTCATTGCCTATCATTTTTTTTTCAAGTCCCTTTTTCACCCACAGTTAAATGGTCTGCAAGACTACATTAATAATCTTGCTTGTCAGATAAGTTATTTTTTCATTGGGAACAAATGCCAGTCACACCTTGTATACCTGGGTTCAGACTCTAACTTTAAATAAATCACAAGGGAGAGTCAAGTCTCTAAATTTCTAAGAGGCCTCCTATTGATCTAGACCAACCCTCTTTGTCTTAGGAGACCTTAGCAAGAGGAGATACTACTACAGACTAAATGAGGTGAGAGTTCATAAGAAAGTTCATAGATCTTGGAATTATCTCTATCACATCAATAATTACATCTCAGTCCCTTTAGTATATTTCTATTCAATAAAGAAATTAATTTTCTTATGAGTGCTGATACATACTCATCTGATTTTCCTAATTTTATAATCAAAATCAGGAGTTAAAAATACATGATGATACTTATCTGTAAGTACCTATAGATACTTATCTATTCAGGATATCTATTTTAAAAATCAGTTATCACTCATTTGTTAAGTATCTACCATGCACTGGGTACTAAACAAGATGTTGGCAATACAAATACAAAAGTGAGATAATCCCTGCCTTTGAGGGGCTTATAATCTACTGTAACTATCATAATTATTATCACAGTTGTATTGTCATTATTACAAAATTTCTCATTATGATTGGAGTTACAGTTAAACCCTTGATTTAATAAGCAATGAACTAGCTATCAGAACGTCTGAATTGCATCAGAGGTAACTACAGTCTTAGTAATTTCTTGAATTTTCCTTTGCTTTCATCTCTTGTTTAAATAGTAATTCCTGTAAAGGTATGATATGTTATAGCCAAAAGCAGAGACTATCATTAAGTTGCAGGGTATGTCATTTATCTTGGTGCTCTATGGACACATAAGTTTTTTTTTCATGATACAGCCATACAAATTGGAGAGATATATCTAATTTGCCCATTGAGATATAGAAATCGTGTATTATATAGTTCTTGCAGAGGGAAAGGATTTCTTAGTTCACTGAGGTTTAATGTAAATGTGCTGTATGACTTTAGAGATGCTACATAGTATTTGCAATATCCAGTGAGTGGGATATATAACATAAAGCCCTAAAACTGTATCAGGTAAATGATATAATTTACAAATGTAAGTTAGACATTTCGTTTCCATCCAGTGAATTCATTTCTAAATGCCATCATTTACAAATGTAACTTGACATAGACAAGAAATAAAGATAAGTATTCCATAGTTAAAAATGTATAGATGATAACAAGAACTTTTATGTGGTTAACATTAAGTGTTAAGTCTGCATTAATTTAATATTGCTTTAATTAATAGAAGGATGTGACAAGCCCTGATTAAATGTCTATAACTGATTGTTTTATTATAGGAAGGTAATAATCATTCTCATTTAGTGTTTATTCAAAGAAATTTTAAGAACTATTCCTAAGCACTAAGGGAAAATATGAAGACAGATAACAGCCCTGCCCAGAGGGAGTTTATAAACCAGTTGGGGAGTGAAAGTGTGTATAATTAAGTGATTCTTAGTACAGTCTTCTTTCTTCCTCTAGTATTATTGTAGGAAGCACAGCACGACAAAGGAAAAAAGTGATGGCTTGTGTTCATGGGACAAATTATCCAGTTTGACTGTAGTGTAAAGTAAAGAGAATGTTGTGAGACATCAGAGAATGAGCTTGAACCTTACCTCCTTTAAAGGGTAATAGGAAGTCTGGTGTCATAAGAATATAAGATTAATTTGAATTTTCAAAAAAAACTTTTAAAGTTTTTGCTAATACTTTCCCAGTATTATGCCAGAGAGCTATGAGAGATACAAGAGAGGTAGAATAGTTTCTGTCTTCCATATAGATGGGGTAAAGACATATCAAATACCTAAAACTAGCTAACAGTGTGCCTTATAATCCCACAGAGTTGGACATTTACTCTTTACTAAACAAGTGCATTGAACTAAAAAACATATAAATGGTCTTTAATGTTGCAGTTTCTTAAGACAGAATTGCAGCCCTCTAACTCCTCATCTCCTTTGTCATGATATAGAAACCAACATCAAATCAACTAGAAAAAGAAAAAAGGTATTAATTATTAGCACTATATTTTGTCCCATTTAGGTATTCAATAAATATTTTTTGATGACTGTAATAAAGGACTGGTGTTAGCTATTGAAATGAAGCCCAGCTTTTGTTCATTTCAGCCATTTGTTATACCTTTTTAGCTTTTTCTCAATTTTTTTCTTTTTAGGAAGAGCTGAAAAGTTAAACCTAATTTTTTTTGAAGGTTGAGATAGTACTGAGAAGGAAATTTTATTTAGACTGTCTTATGCTCTAGGTCAGTGGTGTCAAACCCAAACAGAGAGGGATCTCTTTGGCCCAGCATATTGACTTATAATAGCTCAAAGTAACATAGTCTATGTTCTGTTTTATTTTTATTTTTGTTAAACATTTCTCAATTACATTTTAATATGATTTGGAAATTTTGCCAGTGCTTGAACTCCTACAAGTCTCACACCCTCTGGTCTAGATTTTATTTTTCTTAAATACTGAATAAAGCTTTTCAGTGATTTCAGTTGTGTCCAACTCTTCATGACCCCCAATTGGGATTTTCTTGGCAAAGATACTGGAATAGCTTGCCAATTCCTTCTCCAGCTCATTTGATAGATGAGGAAACTGAGACAAACAGAGTTAGGTGATTTGCCCAGGGTTACATGGCTAGTAATTGTCTGAGGCTAAAGATGAGTATTCCTGACTCCAAGCCCATGCTCTATCCATTGTGTCACCTAGCTACCTATAAAAGCTTTTAGAGAATTGGAGATTCTCTCAAAAAAGATTCTTAGGCCCCTTCTAGCTCAAAATTGTATCATCCCAATTTTTCAAGAGCATTCTTTATAAGTGCTTCTTCAGTACTGTATTATTTACTTGTGAATATTTTCCTTTCCAGTCAAGATGATTCTTACAGTTTTTACTGATAATGATATTGATGTTTAATAAGTAATTTTTCCAAAAATTGGTAAAAACAAACCAAAAGAAACTAAAGTCCTTCATAAGAAACATAAATATTCTGTTAGGCATTTCACTGTTGACTCAAATTAATTTGTTAGAAAACAAGCAAAGAAATCATAATTGTATCTAATAATTTGATTAATTATTGGCATTTCTCTCTTAGGTGGTGGGTTATGCTTTTGACCAGGTGGATGATAATATACAAACTCCCTACCATGAGACAATATACTCCTTGTTGGATACCCTTAGTCCAGCATACCGAGAAGCATTTGGAAATGCACTCCTACGAAGACTGGAAGCTTTGAAACAGGATGGACAGTCATAATTTATTCTACATTATAAACTTATTTTCTGTTAGGCTTGCTGCTGGAAACTTTTTAAATTTACAACCTAGATTCTTGCTAATGAAATATGAAACCATTTTTTGTTTTGTTTTTCAGCATAACTGCTTGCTTCAGATATAGGCTTCTCACTCCAAGCAGTATTAATAATAAACTGTTCTTGTTACTTTTCTTCCACCTAGGGAATTTGGTAGCCCTTGATTTGTGATATAGATCATGAATATGTTTAGATTTCTTTGGAATACTACTTATGCCGTTTGGGGGGAAAAAACCAGTATTTTCCTATAAAAAAGCAGGGCTTTACTGCATCTAGTACTACATATGGAATTCTAGGCTTGCCTAATAAAATTGGCATTCTAATTAATTCTCTACAATTTTAATCCAGCTTGCTAAATCAGGGGTTCAATATTAGCTTGGACTGAATTTGTAGTGATTATTTTGCTACTGGCCTTACAGGGAACAAATTATCAACTAGTTTCCCCTGCACAAACTTTTAAATTGCTTGAACTATTTATACTAGTGCGGATTGATAAAAATGAACTACTTGTATATAATTTATCTAGTATTATTGTGCTAAATGACACAGGGATTAGAATAGTTTTATGTATCCTATTTGCAACAGTCAGCCAGCTAAATAAAGGATAAACCTTTAGCCTATGAATGTAAAAATTACTATCTAATCTCCAAGATACCGAAGCACAGAATATAAAAATAGGCTCCATCTTTTTTTCTTAATAAAGAACATCATAAAGTTGCATTGTTAAAGAGATGTTATAATCTGTTTTCCTAGGAAACGATATTTTGGCCCATGTTGATTCTTATTTTTCTGAATGTTTGTTTACATAATGTACAGTGTTTATATATTCAAAAGTATTTTTGCTTCAATGTTTACTTTATAAAATGTAGTCCTTTGGTATCCTGTCATGCGTCCCTCTTTCCCTTCAAATGTACAGTGTTTTGTCTCAATGCTAAATCTGCAATGTAATAATGCATTGTATGGGTTTGAAACCAAAGGACATATGAAGCATTCAAAGACTAATATTTGGAAAAAGGATACTCTGTATTTTGTATTTTATTACAAGTACTAATATTTGTAAATTTATTTAACTGAATCATGCTGCTATGTGTTTTCAGGTATATGTTGGATGGGAACAATGTTGGATTGGTTTTTCAATAATCAGCTAGCACCATAGTAGAAATAAAATTCAATACCTGGATATGCTTCCTAAGTCTACTGAATTTACAAAATGTTATTTTTTGTTTAATAATAAAAGATATTCATTTTTGTTCTGACTAAATATTAATTTGCATAGGCCAGAGCAAACTAAACATTCATTTGAATTTTGTAGTCAAACGTCCTTGGAATGCTTTTGTTAAATTTCAGAAGATGCATATTTGTAGCTTTGTTTTCAATGCTTAACAGTAAAAACAACTTGCATTTGCATTAAATTTTCTCATGCTCATTTTCAGGCTAACTATAAAAAAAATCTGTTAAGTCAATACATTTTTTCTCATTTTTAGTTAAATATGAAGAAAAATGGGGGGGTTTGTTTTTGTTTTTTTGCTTGGAGAAAATTGAAATTGCTGATGTTATGATTTGGTTCAGGGTTCATTAGTTCTCATTTAACAATTCTGCATTTCCTTAATTATATGTTAGAAGGATTAATTTAGTTGCTCGTCTTCAGGAAAGAGATTGATTGATTTGTGAGTGCGTCAGTATTGATTTTAATTTGAAGTTATATTGAATTGGCTCTGTAAAATGTGGGTTGCACTTCCTGTTTCAGCCATTGTGAGGAAAGCACTTTATAAACCTTAGAGCACTATGAAATGTTAGTAGCCTTTGTTGGCATACATGAGAATTTTAGTCATTACAGATTTCAGCTTTGCCTTAGCTATTTGAAGAATTTGATGAGGTTTCTAAAGGAGATTGTGTTTTCTTAGGTTTTTAAAAGAACTATATTTAATACAAATAAACTTCTAGGATAAACTCTTAGTAGTTTTAAGATTGAACAGGTACTATGACTGGTTTTAACTGGCATCTAGAATTTTCCAACATCACATAGTGTTTAATCTTTTTTAAAGAGCTTAGCCTCATAATTAATATAGTGTTTGCTCTACATATGCCTCTGATTTTTATTTCTTTTTCTGGGTAGCTTGGGAAAACCATTGGTAAATATAAGTATGTGTGTAAATGTAGAAGTTTTAGTTTTTTCTTCATGGCCTTTACTCTTTTTATAAGAGCCTCATTATTTCTAGTTAGATTGTCTCCAAAAACTAAGATACTAGTTACTTCAGTGTAGCATCCCAAGGGCACTTGTCATCACACCTTTCACATGATAGTCCAGCTATTTTCCCCATTCCCCCATCTTCGTTGTGTGTGTGTTGGGATAAAATTATAGGGAGTTGAAGTGACATCTAAACTGATACAGCTAAGAGAGGTGTATGTAGACAAAAACTCCAAGACTTCCACCCTAAAAGTTGTAGGAAGATCATCTAAGCACCCAAGTTCATACAGGGCAGAGCAATTGGGATGATGAAATGTTTGGAGACCCTGCCATACAAGTACATGAACATGGTAGCCTGAAAAAGAATACTTGTAGGGAAAGGATGGGTGCAGTGATAGTATAAGAATTGTCTTTAGTGCCTGATTATCTTAGAATAGATGAGAGTCATATTGTTTTCTGCCTGACACTAGATACAGTGAGAGGAAGCTTCATAAAGGAACTACTAAAGGAAAAATTCCCCAGAATTAGAATTGTCTGAAAAGTGGAGTAGAATGCTTCCTATTCTAGAAATGCATCAAACTGAGGAATTGTTTGTGATTTTCCTTGGGGAAGTAAAACATCCATGAAAGCATCAAGAGGGAAGAAAAGAAAGCTACATATTGTGTAGGGAGGGACAGTGGAGCTAAAACTTCACTTTGAGGGAAGTAGAGAGGATCAGAGCTCCAGAGGTAGAAGGGGCTTCAGAGGCCTTGTGGTTCAGCTTCTTTGTTTACTGAAGGAAAGACAAGTCCCTTCCATGAAGCCATAGGTTGGCAAAACTTCCAGTTCTTTTGAATACTGTTCCTGAGACAGGCCAGGAGTAGAATGAAGATGAGGGAGGAAGTCTGCAGTCAAAACAAAGGAATTCTTGTAGAATTCCCTACCAGCCAGCAAAGAGTTTCCTATGAAGGAATAAATGGACTGAGAAATTGCTGTGCTGACAGCAATTGGGTATGACATGAACTGAGTAAGCAATCAAGGGTGTTGGGTGCCATCTTCTTAGAGCTATGGAGAATTGCAAGCTTCAGGAATTAATAAACTCAGTCCAATTAGGAGACCATAAAAACTCCACAGGATTGTATAGTAGAAAACAAAAGCTTGTTTCAAGATGTAACTGCTAGTTGTAGAGGCTGCTCATTGGTGGGCATTGTTATTTTCTAGGGACTCTGATATGAATATTTGCTTTCTATGCCATAATAAATCTTAATTCATTAAGCCTTGTAAACTTGTCCTGGAAAGAGTTGGTAAACACTAGTTTCCAGGTAGCCTGGTGGGATTGATGGAACCCAGGTAAGCAGAAGACGCCCTGGGCCCTTTGTATCAGCGACTGGCATAATGAAGAGGAAGCATGATGGAATGGAAGGAGCATTGCTCTTAAAACAGCAGATCTGAGTTTTTGTGCTAGCACGACATTCACAAGCCATGTGACCCTTCTTGGCCAGGTCACTGAAGCTCTGTAAATCTCAGATTCTGGATCTATAAATCTTTTTGGAGTTTATTCCTCTTTTAATCCATTCACTAATTTTCAGTCTCTCCCTATGGACTGCCTCTTTTCCTTGCAGTCTACCAACAGGCCCACATCTTTAAAAAACAAAAACTATGCTTGCCCTTACTGCCACCTCAAGTTTTTCTTTATCTTTTTTTTTTTTTTTTGCATAGCCATACTCCCAGGAAAAAGGAATCTCTACTTACCTCCAATTCCTCTCATTTTACATCCCTTTTCAATCTGGCTTCCAACTTCCCTAAACCACTCAATTGAAACTGCTCCATCCTCCTACCCCTCTGTCTGGGAACCAAAACCAGGGACTCAGTGAGTGGCCACAGCCAGCAGGGTTCCCACTCTCTGCAACTACACTCACCCTTGTGGGCTTACTCACCCTTGTGGGCTTGCTCCTCCTTGCCCACAGCCACAGCCTGGGACTAAATCTGGTTAGTTCATTTAGGTCTGGCATCCAGCAATGGTAGAGGGCCCTGAAGTCTTGCCACACTGTCCATGAGGAAAAGTTCCTGAAGCTGAGACTGCCACCTGACACAAAGGTTCTCATTGCTTGTTGATGCTGCTGTCTAAAGGGCTTGCTGTTTATTGATTCACCAGCATCTGCCCAGAGGTATTTGCACTTCAGTAACACCAAACAACCCCATCAAGAGGTTGGGTCTTTCCCAAGTTGTCTTATCACCCCAACTTTTAATTATTTCCACCACTCAAAGTTCACATTGAGATGTTATTTTATATTGTTTGTAGGGGGATTTAGGAGAGTCAGGTAATTTCCTGCCTTATTCCACCATCTTCCCAGAATCCTCTCCGTTTAAATGTTTCAAAGCTGTTGTACTTTACATTTTTGTAGCTATCATATAAATACTTCTAGTTTTGCTCACTTTTACTCCCAGCATCAGTCCATACAAGTCTTTCCAGGTTTCTCTGAATCCATCCATTTTGTTATTTCTTATGACACTGCAATACTCCATTTGTCATAATTTGTTCAGCCATTTCCCAAATGATGGCATCCACTTTGCTTCCATATATAAAGCAGAATATAAAAAAGGATTGCATGTGAAACTCTATTCTGTAGAACTTGCTTTTTAAAAAGTATACAAAAATTCCAACATATGTATTAAAAACATTAAAATCTGACATTCAAAGTTGTTCTGCTTGACTGTGCTTCTTTTTGAACTTCCTTCTGTTTTCTTCTGTGCCTCGTAAAAAAATGTTTCAATGGCCCTCTTTTTATTTCTTTATGTTACCATTGCTAGCTTGTGCTTCCATTCAAAATCTAGCCTCAAATTAAAAGCAGGGGGGAAAAAAACCTTGTAACAAATGACCATAGTCAAGTAAAACAAAACCACATCCAAAAATATGTCTCTTTTTGTGCCTTGAGTCCATCACCTTTCTCTCAGGAAGCGGACAAGGGGATTTATGTCCTCCTTTGCAGACATAGTTGATTACTGATTTAATCGGAATTCATAAGTCCTTCGAAGTTGTTTTTCTTTACAATGTTGTTATTGTATAAATTATTCTGCTGTTTCTGTTTGCCCACTCTGTGTTAATTCATACAAATCTACCCAGGATCCTTTAAAATCATCTCTTTCTCATTTTCTTATGGCACTATTTGTATTATACTGTAATATAATACACTCCTATTCCATAATTTGTTCAAACATTCCCCAATCAATGCCATTTATTTCCATTAAAGGATCATTTTTCCAAGTAGCCTTGGTTGTTGGTCTTTTGGAATACCAGCATTCCCAAATATTTTTGAGTTTATAGAAGAATCTTCTTGTGTAGTCCTGACTGGGGTTCTTTGGTACTTGAACTCTTCTATATATATGGTATTTTTTTTCCTTTGACCAGGAAACTCTGGATTTTAGCTTTAATACTCTTGGATGTGTTCAATCTGGGGTTTCTTTCAGAAGGTCCCTCTTGATCTAGGCAGTTTTCATTTATGCTTTCTTGAAATACAATGTCAAGCCTTCTTTTGATTGTGGCTTTCAAAGAAACTGTTTCTTAAATTTTCTCTCCTTGAGTTTTGTCGGTTGTTTATATACCCCCACACACACACACTCACACTCACACACATGAGTATACATTACATACTTTATATTTTCTTATAATTTTTCAATCTTTTGATTTTTTGTGTTTCATGGAGTTACTGATACTTTGTTTCATCAATTCTAATTTTCTAAGAGCATATTACTTGGGCGAGGTTTAACAATTTCTATTCTAAACTCTTTTTTTTCTTCCAAACTTTTTCTCTAGAACTTTTACTCCATTTTTTATCTCTTGTTTCATTTCTTTCAGGTAATCATGTAGTCCTTATGGAAAATTCATTTGTATTTCTTTAAGCACCTGCTTGCAATTGTTATGGAGTTACTCTCTTCTCCTAGATTAGATTTCTGAGTGTTTGGAGATCTACAAAAATTCTTTACTATGGTTATTGCCTTTTTTTTTTTTGGCAGTTGGGGCTAAGTAACTTGCCCAGGCTCACACAGCCAGTAAGTGTTCAGTGTTTGGTCTGAGGCCAGATTTGAACTCAGTTCCTCCTGACTTCAGGGCCGGTGTTCTATCCACTGCACCACCTAGCTGCCCCTTGCCTTCTATTTTTTCAAATCTTCAATCTTGGTTCCTGAATTGGGCCTTTTTGGGTGTGACAGTCAGCCCTACTTGGTCTTGATCTGTGTCTCCTGAGTTATTATGCTGATTTCCACTCCCTGAGGTGTACCTATGCTTAGTAATGACAG